GGTTTTTGAAGCTACCTCCAATATGATATAAAGCAACTGGAGATCAAAACGTCTAAGTTGCTTGCTCAAGGTCAAATATCTGATAAGGGAAATAAATAAAATTTAAGCTCAAATCTGAGTGCAAAACATCTTATTATATTGCCTCTCAGAGCAAAGAGCAAGTTAATTAGTAGCAAGTGAAATGAGGTACATGATATTTATCAGAGAAGCAAAATAAACTAAACAGAAAAAAATGACTCATATTTATAAATGGTGGCGACCAAGACACCAAGGCAAGGTAATGGCAAACTCTTCTACCCAGAGAACACATTTTTGGATTCCATTCTGTAAGTTAGGTTTAGATGTGACTTTCTTTATTCCCTCACAGAGTCTTTAAGTCTGACCAAGGTAATACTTGGAAAGACAGAAGCAGGCTCAGATTCCCCAGCAAAGGCCTGGGAGGGTCAGGATTAAGTCTCCTCATCAAAAAGTCATAGAATTACTGACTAGGCATGGTGGCTCACGCCTGTAATTCCAGCACTTTGGGAGGCTGAGGCAGGTGGATCACTTGAGGTCAAGAGTCTAAGGCCAGCCTGGCCAACATGGCAAAACTCACCTCTACTAAAAATACAGAAATTAGCCATGCGTGGTGGTGGCATATGCCTGTAAATCCCAGCTACTCTGATGGCTGAGGCAAGAGAATCACTTGAACCCAGGAGGTGGAGATTGCAGTGAGCCAAGATAGTGGTGCTGCACTCCAGTCTGGGCAACGCGGAGACAGAGATATAAACAAAAAAGCAGAGTTTTTAATTTTTTAAAAATAAATTATATACTTTTTTTGCACACAATTCAGAATTTACACACAATTTTGATCTCTTTAAGGAGCATTTTTAGGCCTGAATCTGACTTTTTAAAAAAAGTATATAATTTACTTTTTAAAAAATTAAAAGTGTGTGTGTGTCTGTGTGTGAATTTGTATGTATATAAACATGTAAACACCTTAAATTTAATACAGGCTACTTCTTATGTCAAATAGGATAATGATTTAATAAATATACGATGTTTGATTTCTTAACAACTACTTTATAGAAATTTTATTAAATGTATACATACACATATTTTTTAAGTAAATTAAATAATACGAAAAGTAAGATAATAAAAAACAGTGACAGCCCATCCAAATTCAGTCTCCAGTTTCAACAGCTTTGAATTCTTTCTTCCTGTGATTTCCATGTTTTTCTATACAGTGTGTGTTAAGTGCTCTGTCTTTACTGATTAGTTCTGTTTGTCATATATCGAGTATTTTTTAAAGATTTTTATGTTAATTGCTTAGTATTTTCAACCCTTTCTCCCATTCTCTTCTTAAAATTTTTTATTTTAAAAATTGTCAAGTAAAAATTGTCTATATTTTTAAAAAAAAGAGAGAGAGAGAACAGAATTGAGAAAATAAAATTACGGCCCTGGGAAGGAGGCAGGCTGGCCACATGTAAGAAAGGTGGCCAGAAAATTGGCCGGCCTCGCCAGGCTCCTGTGGGTTCTCCGAAGCTCAACACAGCCTGGCATGACTGACCTTAGGAGGCGGGTGGCAAACATTTCCAAAATCATAGCCATGAGTAGGAAATAAACGTCTTACATCACTACCCATTGGCTGAGAGCTAAAAACTAGAGCCAAGCAGTAGCAAGCTCACTGGTGACAGACCTCTGGATCCTAAAACGAGCAGCAGACAGGGATTCTGGCAGCAGAAAGCAGGCTGGGGTGACAAGACAGCCACTGACAACTGGAAATTAGAAAGGTGTTTTGGTATGGGTTGTCCCAGAAGCAGATCTAGACAAGACCTGGAGTGCAAATAGTACATGTTTTTGGTTGTGGAGGTTGGGAGGAATCCCAAGAATACTGGTGGGGAGTCAAAAAGTCACATAGGGAAGCAAAACAATTCAATACAGTGTGCATTATCAAGCAAGTTACTCCTATAGGATACCAGAGTCTAATTTCACTAAATACATGAGGGATACAGTGTAGAACATACTTCTTCACTATCCCCACCATGGCAGGAGGGCACTAGGGCATTTACACATTAATTCCTTGCCTGGTAGTGGTTGAGGATGTATCTTGAAGACACTAATCCTCCAACAAATGTGGCTTGTCATTACTGTCACAGTCAGATAAAATCCCTATCGTTGTATGGAATAAAGAGGCTTCAGAGTTTAGAGGTGCTGCCTAGGGGTTATGGACAAGGTACCAACAACCTCTACTGCAGTGAATACCTCTGAGTACTTTTCCACTATTTCACTTATTCAGTAGAGTAGTATAGAAAAAGAAAATGTGTGCGCTCTGCCATAAAATAGACCTGAGTTTGATCCCACTTCAGCCATAATAACTTTGTAGCCAAAATTCTCTCATATCAGAATTAGCCTACATTACTCTACATGATCCACTAAATCAATAAAACTAGAGTCAAATACATCATCATGAACACAATTGACTCTGTAAGGGCAGCGTCTGGTCACAGATTAGTTCTGTGTTAAAGAGAGGAACTAAGTACTGTTTAATTTAAAAATGTTCCATTCTTCCAACAAATTACATACTACCTGTCTTAACTTTTCATTAATAGTTTCTGATTAAGAAAGTTGTAAGAAATGCATGTACCATGTCAGGCTTTTGTGGAGGTGAGAGAGGATATATTTTAAGTATATTTCACAATTCTTGGTACATAGCAAACACTCAAAATATGTCTGGTATTGGTTCCTTTTTTCAATCACTTTAAAAATAATAAGAACAAATGTTTTTGATATGTTCCATGTTCCAGGAACCAGGCTTGAGTGTGGAAATATACAGGAGTATGTATATGGTTGTCCTTGCCAGGAGCTTGTTGTCAAAGTACAGACAACAGACAGGCACAAACAATTAGGGAGATATAGTAAGCACTAAATTTTTTTAGAAGGAGAGAATTATTTCAGTTGAACAAACTGTAAGATTAAATATTCCAATGAGGAAATTTATAAGGATTTTTGAAATATAATACATTGTTTCATAAGCTTCAAGAGAACAGATCCCTAGGCTGTTTTAATTGCTGTATCACTGGTGGAGAGGACAAGACCTGACCCATAGTCCAATACTCAATAAATATGTACCAACCAAATGACTGTGAAGAATATGGAAAGTGCTTTCTAAACAGAGATAATGACTTGAGCAAGTAAGAGGAGGCAGAAAAGAATCAGGTGCAAAGAAGATATTGAATGATCAAGTTCAGCTGCAACTCTACATCCATGCAGATAAGAGGTAATGATTCAGCCTGGAAGAGTAGTTGAAGTGAGATGAGACTAGCAGAAAACCTTGAATATCGGTCCAAGGTGCTTGGATTTTTGTAGCAAAGTGAAGCTATTGAAGGCGGGAAATAACCTGATAAAAATGGTGATTTGGAAATTTGAATCTGGCAGTAAAATGAAGAAAGATTAGAGAGGCAGTAGGCAAAGGGGCAGGTTAGAGGCAATTCATTGTCCAGGCCAGGTATATCTTAGTAATTGATGTTCATATGCTTCGCTCCAAATTACCACAAGCACTGACTACTGCAAGCTGATTCTTGCTGGCATCAAGGACAGAAAGGTAGGGATATTTATCTCTGGCTATAACCCCCCACATGGGACAACATGTGAATAAAGCAATCTGTTCACCCACATGGACCCCACAAGTTTTATAAATGTGAGTAAATTCACTCATAACTGGCATTTCATATAATTAAATTTAGCAGAGGTTAGTCATCAAAACTACATCAATTGCAATTTCCCATTTTGGGGAATGTTTATCAATTAAGTAGAAAGAAACATACATACACATACAACATCAACAACAAGCAACAACAACATTTTTCCAGCCAAAATTATCTAACTCTTCTATGTCCTACATGGTACACTTTATTAATAAAACCACAATCAATCAATACTCAATATTATGAACACAACTGACACTATGAAATAAATATTTGATCGTTGGTTAGCTTGGTTAAGGTGGACAAAAGGGTACTATTTGAGATAAAAATGCCCACCTGTATCTGGATAACTTCATGACTGTCAGCCTGAAATATACCCATGGGAAATATATTTCTTTGTAACCACTCATTTTGTCAGTCATTTTACAAGTATATATTAAATGTGTATATGTATGGCAAATGTGACAGGAATAACCTAGATTTCAGGGAATAAATAAGAAAACAAAATGATTCTTTTGCTTGAGAAATTTTGAGTCCATTGGGATACATTAACAGATGCTATGAGAGACAGGAAGGTAAAGAAATGGATGTCTTTAGAAAATCAATATGTATGTATTAAATGTTGGCCATATAAAGTCTTGTGTTATTTACCATTATCTGTAGAAGATTAGAAGATAAAGCTTAGTAATTTTTCAAAATGCAGATATACTTATGGATTTTCAAACTAAGGTAATATTAATAAATGGATATGTTGCTTTCACTTCTCATTTAATAATATTTTTATTGAGCACCTAGTATATTCTAGGCATTGTAGTAGACAATATGGATTTAATGATAATTAACACATGTTCTGGCCGGGTGCGGTGGCTCACACCTGTAATCCCAGCACTTTGGGAAGCCGAGGTGGGTGGATCACCTGAGGTCAGGAGTTTGAGACCAGCCTGGCCAACATGGTGAAACCCCATCTGTACTAAAAATATAAAAAATTATCAAGGCGTGCTGGCGTGTGCCTGTAGTCACAGCTACTTGAGAGGCTGAGGCAGGAGAATGGCGTGAACCTGGGAGGTGGAGGTTGCAGTGAGCCAAGATCGTGCCACTGCACTCCAGCCTGAGCAAAAGTGCAAGACTTCATCTCAAAAAACAAAAACAAAAAACAAAAAACAAACACACAAACAAAAATCATGGTCTGCAACTAAATAGTTTATTAGGCAGTGTGATGTATCTGTCAGGCTAAATTATATTGTACCAACAACTTCAGAATAAACAAGATGTATTTTTCAGTCATGCTACTTACATATCGTAGTTCAGCCTCACTTCTGTTTCATATAGTCTTCAAAACAGGACAGGGTTGATGGGAAAATCTCTATGTGAAATATGGCTGCTCCTGTGGCAGAGAGGAAAAAGATGAAGACACATATCACTTCTGCTCATATTTAATTGTTCAATGCACAGCCTATGACCATCATAAAACCAACAGGATGGGGAAGAAAAAACAGCTTGCAGGAAGATATATCCCAGGGTCAGAGCTAGGATATTTGGTGAACAATATAATCTACTGCAGTGAGTCAGCTAGGGCTACAAACTCTCCCAGTAAAAATTTTCATGGTTCTCAAAAGAAATCATTATGGACGTACTTAGTAGTTGATAAAACCCTCAGATTGATTATTTATCCATGAGCTGTTATGATAGAAAAGATCAAGGACAAACATGAAATTATCCTCACCCCCTAATGCTCATCACAAAACTAACAACAATAGCCCATCATGAGTGGAACGGCCCAAAGAGAACTGAAAAATTTGTTTGTACGGCCTCATAAATTTAGATTATGTTTGTCTACAGATCACAGTTCACAGAGAAGAACAATTTGCAATAGGGTGAACACTAAGAGTCTTGTTAAGCTTAACATAAAATTAGGCATGTTTTCTCTCAATATATTACTTTTCACTTCTTTGAAATTCTATTGCTTCTGCTGTTACTGGCACTACCACCATTAACACAACCACCACCATCACTGCCACCACCATAATGACCACCATCACTGCCACCACTATCATGAGCAACATCATCACCACCACCACCATTGCCATCACCACCATCACCACCACCATCACAACCATCACCATCACTATCCCATCATTAACTCCATTACCACTACCACCATCACAGTCACTACTAACATTACATCACCACCACCACCACCATCACAACCATCACCACCACTATCCCATCATTATCTCCATTACCACTACCACCATCACAGTCACCACTACCATTACATCACCATCACCACCATCACAACCATCACCACCACTATCCTATCATTATCACCGTTACTACTACCACCATCACAGTCACCACTACCATTAGCATCCACCATCACAACCATCACCACCACTATCCCATCATTATCACTGTTACCACTACCACTATCACAGTCACCGCTACCATTACATCACCACCACCACCACCATCACAACCATCACCACCACTAACCCATCATTATCACTGTTACCACTACCACCATCACAGTCACCACTACCATTAAATCACAATCACCACCATTACAACCATCACCACCACTATCCCATCATTATCTCCATTACCACTACCACCATCACAGTCACCACTACCATTACATCACCACCACCACCACCATCACAACCATCACCACCACTATCCCATCATTATCACTGTTACCACTACCACCACCACAGTCACCACTACCATTACATCACCAACACCACTGTCACAACCATCACTACCACCCTCATCATCATTACCACAACCATCACCATTACCACCAGTGTTATCACCTTCACCAGCACTATTACTATCAACATCACAACCATTTCACTGCCAGCTTTTACTGAAGACTCTTTTGTGCTTTATATGCATTTTTAAATTCAGTTTAATGTGCAATGATCTTATGAGGTAGATAACATGGCTATCCCTATTTATAACTAAGACAAGTGAGGCTTAGTGAATTGTTTTAAATGTTCCAGGTTTTCACAGCTAATAGGTGATAGACTCTGAAATTCAAATCCTGGAATTTTAAAGTCAAAACTTAAGAACGTAAGCAATAAACAAATTATCTCTAAGTGGCATTAATTTAATTAGAAAGTACATAACTTGTCTTTCTCCATGATAGCAAAAACAAAACAACAGTAACAACAAAACAGTGTTCCATTTGTTTCACTGTTATTGACTGGTAGCAGAAAATCACAGGGTTTGGACCAGAAGATGTCTTGTCTTTTCCAGTTTCACTGCCAATTGACTGTGTGACCTTACCGAAACCTGTTAACCTCTCTGAGGTATAGCTGTACAATTGAGAAGATAATCTTAGATTGCCTTACCCAGTACTGGTAAGAGGGATCAAAAAATACACGTGAAATCTCAATGTGAACTATCATTCTTATAGAGCATAAATTACTATGATTTCTGCTTAATCTTTCTCTCTCTGGAAAGCTAGTCTCTCTTTCCCTCACATAATCTTAGATTATGGTCTCTAGTCCATCTCTGCAGGGATACTTACAATTTTACTACAAATGATTATCATAAATATTTGAAGTTACTACGCTTTCAATAGCAGAACAATTACCATTTTTCATCTTGATGTCTAGCAAAAGAGGCTACATACGATTGGACAAGGTCCTCAGAGGGAGCAGGACATTAGGAAGTTTCCCAAATGCTCCCAGTTCAATTGGAGGGCAGGTGATGAGGGAGAAGTAAAAGCTCCTAGTCACCTCAAAGAACTGTTTCTTAAAGGAGGTTCTCTGACTCATGAGCTTCTAACAACTCTTTAATTATTCTGGACACAAAATGACTATCCCTTTATTTCATCCAGAAAGAAAATGAAGGAGGTATTCCCCATCTCCACAGGTCAGCTTCTTATCTGGCTTGTCTTTTATGAACAGAATTGACAAGATCCTACACAGAATAGAAGACCTCAGGGGACACTCTGCCTTGGAGTGTATTCCTGAATGACTGACTTCTTGGAAGGACACTTTGAGCTTATTCTGCACAGGTGATGTGCTGCTCACAACCTCCTGAGTCATTCCGGACCTACCTGCAGAACTTTACTGAATATAAACAACCGCCATAGACATTAAAGAAGAATATATACAATTCTACAGAACCGCTCGCACTCCCTTGACATAAGATTCACCAACTACAGAATCTTTGCAAAAGTAGACATGAGTTCTTTCTCTGGATAAGGCTTCATTTTTATTATTTTAAATGCAATTAAGAGTGAGTTATGGGATAGTAAGATATAGGAAGCTGTCAAAAGGCTTTTACTGTTCCTTTTATATATGCATAATTCTATTAAGCAATACTCAGCTATTTCCTGCATTTATTTTATTACTTTGGCAAGGAGGAAATTATCTCAAACATGGGTAGAATCCTGCATCCTCATCTGGCCTCACCTACTTCTTTAAATGAGTGAATACTTAAGAGTTTGCCTGTAACTCTCAGCCCAAATCCAAGGATTCAAACACACAAAGGCTTCCAAAATGTAAAATGTTCTAATTTCTTTATTTTCCCATACGGAGCAGAAATAATGTGCCACAAAAACCTCCATTCATAACTTTTTGAGGTTATTTGAACACTAAGATACACATTTTACTATATTCTCTAATTAAACTGAACACATTATTTTCTGAAATAGAGAGGGTTTTCATTGGCATGTTGCAAACTTTACCTGTTATTTTCCCTTATTGCAAAGTGTATAATTTGTCTTCTCAGCAATGGCACATATATCTTAATATGACTTATGTTAGAAAAATAGCCCATCATCAGAGAATATTAATTGCTCTTGTTTTCTCCAAGAAGAGAGGGAAAAAAAAGTGGTATTCATTGCAAGAGCAGATCCATCTTCAGGTTTTAAAGGGAACTTAAGGCAATGTTTCCCATAATATCCTTCCCATAAATGTTAGGCCCTAGAGTCCTGCCAAGTGGCTAGTTCTGTTTCTCCATTGTTCATTTACAAAAAAACAAACAAACAAACAAACAAAAAACCCTTCTCTGTAGACACAGTCAGGGCTCTTCTTTATTTTTCTGGATTGTCTCCATAAACTACTTATTTTTGTCTGAATTTCTGCCTTTAAAAGAGTTATATGTTATTTTTTAGTTCATATTCAAAGTATTGCTGTATGTCTTACACTAAGGGACAACATTGTGACTTTAGAAATTATATTTTAATTTATTTAAAGTGATAGGAAACATTTTCTCATGGCTGGGTTGAAAAAAAGTCAGTGTATGCAGAGTGCAATGCCAATAATACAGTGGCAGGCATATATGTGCATACAGCATTGGCTGATTTTATTGTTCTTGGTGGTGCTCCCTCTCCCATTGCCATAGGACTAAACCATTCCAAAAGCATCTCAAAATTCTGCAACGTTTTCCCTGATCCTCATACTTTAATACTTTTTTACATCTATGGTTTTTCACATTACTCTCTTCCTGACCACCTCTTAATATGTGACTGTTACAATTGTTGCTTTTGCAAATGTATAACCTCTAGCCTTAGACTGTAAGCTTCCTCAGAGTGGGTATCATTCCTTAAGCAGTTTAGTGTGACCTAAGTTACCTGGACATTGCTTGACACTAAGTAGCATCTTACAGACCAAGTAAGTCCTTAAAATGATTATTGAATATATATTTTAAGAATAAGATACCAGATGATGAAAAATAGTTATACCAAACAAGAGCCCATTAGCCCCTTATAAGCTGTATGTCAGTTATCTCCCCAGGCTGTTGGGAACATAGAGGAATAAAGTCATAGAGATGGTGAGGTCTTAAGAAACACAGAGTTGGTTGTAAAGCAGGAAGTGTCTACACTGTTGCATTTATTACATTTGTTTTTTGTGTCCGTGCATCAATGGCTTAAATTTCTAACACTCTGGAGAGAATGACATTTTGGATGTCACTGGGTCACATTACAGCACAATCCAGGTTTCACCTGGTACAAGGAGAAGGAGTGGGCTCTCAGAAACTTTGGCAGCAGGAGCTAAGCATTTTCTCCCACCAGGATTACACACAATGTGACAAATGCTATTTTTTGAAAGCAAAACTAGGTGATACTAGAAGAATACTGGATACTGGAAAATCGAAGATGATAAACATTTATTAAACCTCTGTTTGCTTAATAAATGGAATGTAGAAGATAGTTAACGTATGTTTACTTAATGATAAATACATCACTAAGACTCCTTTGCAGGCATTTAAACCCAGAACTTGAAGCATGTCACTTCCAGATTTATGAGTGTGCCTAGGTATCTGTAAATGAGGTATCACTAAACCACACTTGACACTGAGAACAAACTATGTTATATTCTAATTAAACTCAATTATAGCCAGGTCAAGTTGACACTATTCATAGTCAAA